TCCTTTCTAATAAACGATTAAATAAAGTGGATTTTCCTACGTTGGGACGCCCAACGATTGCGACAATATTCGACATAAAAATGTTTAATAATTTAATTATTAATGGGTTTCTCCAACTTTTGGAGCCCAATTTTTTGCAAAGATAAGATTTTTATTTGATTTGATTTTTTGAAAAGAAAAACTGGAAAGAATTGTAAGTTAATTTACTTATAAGGTTATTGCTAAATATTTAGTCTTTTAATTAGCTGAACCTAAAAATATAGCTTTCGTTCGAAAAAATATTCACAAAATAATTCTTTGAATATCAATAAACAAAGGCATTTCATGAAATTTTTATTGATTAATTTCAACTTTAAATTTTTAATTTTCAAAATAAATTTTCTAATTTCGCGGAACAGAAATACAGACTCATGGTGTAGCGGTAACACTACTGATTTTGGTTCAGTCATCTGGGGTTCGAATCCCTGTGAGTCTACGAAAACCATCCTTTTTAAGGATGGTTTTTTTGTTTTTAGTTACAGCTTACGCAATACTTTTTATCAACATATTCTTTATTTCCTGACGATAAATAATAGCATTAAAAATCGATGTTTTTTAATTATCTTAGATTTGAAAAAAGAAAAGATATAGTGAAACTTTTCGTCTGTAAGAGGTGTTAATTTTTCAATATGTTGTCTAAATTCTTCCATTCATCAAAAAAATCATTGGAGCATACATTTATAAAGTTTGATAAATATATTAAAAATCGCTTAAAATCAATAAAAAAGACCATTCTTAAAAAGAACAGTCTTTCAATTTTTAATGACTACCTGACTCATATCAGGTATCCCTTTAATTAATACCTAGAAATTACCGCCCAGGCAGAACCCGTACTCTGAACAACAATTCCTTTTCCCCAATCATTAGTATTCAATCCATAATTAGAAAAATTGCTGCCGTTGATTCTGAAAGTACCGTTAATTGTAATACTTCCGCTGGTATCATTAATCAAGTTATAAATTTTTCCTTGATT